GGCTTTAAAATGAGGTGTCGCGGAAGTTGTAAACTGCTGTCGATCTTGCTGTGACCCCCTAGGAAAAGGTTATGCCCCGCCCTGTACTAATCCTTCTGGCGGAAAAGCCTGAATCTATAAAGACAAAATCTGTCTCTAAGCTGAAACTTCTCATTTGGTACTGTCATAATATTGAGGTGTTCTATTTCAAATCTTAATTTTTTGCTTTTTGTATTTTTGATCATGATAACTTAGGAGGAAGACAATTTCACATACAACTTCAAGTTGTATACTCAGTATGCTTGCCCAGAAATAGCCACAGAATGTGTCGTAACAGATCCTCAAACCATGAAGCAATATGATCTGTCAAGGTAAACAAGAAAACCAAAGTTCTGAATGTAAATTCTAAATATGTGGAAGAATTCTCAGCTAGCAATTTTCCCAAGTCAAAAAACAACTTTATATTTTAATCTTAACGCACTACCTTGCATTGATCGGCAGTGCTGTCATTATTCTTAATTATCAGACAATCAGTTTGTTATGGAAAAATTAGCTTGTTACCTTACAATTTGTAAAGGCTGTCCATGTATAATTTTAATTGTTCATCCATCAGTATTGCTACTATTTCTGATGTGGATAAGTTGTATTAAATCTTATTTTCTTAATAGTGTGTTTTAAATCAACAGTGGATAATTTCTAGTGTATTTCTATGCTTATCTCAGTAGGGAAATATAGGAATACAATTACTTCTGACTTATTTCTGAATACATTATTATTGCCAACAGTAACCTTTGTTTTTTATTTTTAAAAACTGATGTATGTTTAAAAGCTTAATAATGTTTGGTCTATTTTTAGTTTATCATTATTTCGCAATGTAAAAAAAAATTGGTTTGCAATGGACAACTCTGGAGAGAATGTTCACAAAAAATACTACATAAATGTCTGCCGACCATTGAACTCTATCCCAGGATGTGACAGAAGAGCATCCATCTGTGAAATGACATTCAAAAGGGGCGAGAGTGTAAGTATGTCCATTGTATAGAGAGACAGAATCAAAACTAAAGAAAAGATCTCCTTTTCTTTGTATTCTTGGGTATTTATACAATATATGGGTAAGACTTGGAGAATTTTTATAATCTTTACAGAAAGAATGTGTGCATTTCTTATTGCATTATTTTAAATATTTTTTCTTATTATAAATGCCTTTACTTCAAAAAGATTTCATTCCTCTCCTTTCAGGCTGGCTCTTCTAAAATTTCCAATAGTAACCTTGGGATTGCCCAGAAAAGTCCCATTTTTGAAGGACCTGGTAGAATCCTTCTTAATTACACTGGTGGCTCTCTATGCATAAGGGCAGATGATGACAAGCCAGAACCTTTCTCAAGCCTCATCCATCTGATTTGTGCCAAGGGCCTTCTTGTAAGTTTCTGAATTGTTTGTTTGTTTGTTTATTTAAAAACAATTTAGCTTCATAGTGTTATGGAATCTGACCGCCACTATATAAGAGTGGAAATTATAGATTTTGCCTTTTAGATGAATTATTTGATTCCTCTTGTCATATTTTATGTATTTATTAATTTTAAAATTTTATATGGCTACCCATCTCACAAAGCAAGTGACTCTGGGTAGCATACAATACATTTAAATAACAATAAAGCACAAATGCCATCTATTATTATTAAAAAAACATTAAAAAACTATAAAAGCCCAACTAAAAAAATGGGTGAAGAGGTGTCATTAATAATGGAGCCATCTTACTAGTTTGCCAGTTCTATGGGATCTCGAGACCTGATGCCAACCTGGCTTCTGGAAGGATATTCCACAATGCGTATGCCACACCCTAGAAAGCCTGCCACCCAGGGCCCTCCAAATGTAGCTGAGTGATGGAGCCCATAGCATGTCTTTTTACTGCACAGTGGCACAGAAAAATATAATTGGGGAGAGAGACTCCTGAAATGACCCAATCCCATGCCATGTAAGGATTTAAAGGTCAAAACCAACAGCTTGAATTGGACCTGGAAAAAAAACTGGCAACCAATGAAGCTCATGGAGCAGAGGTGTAGCAGGTGTTCTTATGAGGAACACATGTAACCATCTGTGCTGCTGCATTTTGCACTAGGTGAAGTTTCCAGATACTTTTCAAGGACAACCTGGTGTAGAGTGCATTACAATAGTCCCAACAGGGAGGTGACTAGGGATGTGGGACTTTGAATAGAACTCCTTGATCTAGGAATGAGCGCAACTGATGCACAATGCAATATTGTGTGAAGGCCTTCTAACCACGACTGCCACCTTCTTGTTGGTAAGAGTTGTGAGTCCAAGAAGATCCCCAGATTGCACATGTGATCTACCTCATGCAGTATAATTCCTTTGAGTAGCAAAGATGGCATAGTGATGAAATGTAAATGGATTTTACACCTGTTCAGTTAAAAGTGGAATAAATAACCTTTATATCATAATATTCCAACGAATGCTTTGAAGCCTTTGTGATTCATTTCATCTTCATCCAGCTGAAGTATCATTCAAAAATGGAAATAAAGCACAACCAAATAAAGCCCTAGAATTTTCAGAAATATAAAGAACTGGAACATTTTCAAAGCACCTTAAGAAGGACCACATATATGTAGTTATTATAATATGCTAAATAATTCCCAATGTTGGGAAATCAGAACAGAGGGGGAATAGGATAGAGCAGGGGTGTCATACTAGCAGCCCATAGGCCGGATGCGTCACGTGCTGGCCATGGCCACCCCCATTTTACCAAAGGGGGGGAAAGTTGAGATATGTCACGTAATGACAACGTGTTGTCGCAAGTTTGACACCCCTGGAATAGAGCATCCAGTTAATTAACCAGGACTAATTTAGCTTTTCTATCACAGATTTGTATTATTCAAAGTGATATAACTGCAGGATGAACTAGTCTATGTTTTCAATTTTTGCATTACTAAGTGATGATGGCTAAGCAAGTTCTGTGTTATAGAGGACATATATTTCACTTAGTCTATAGGCATGCTATTTTCTAGTTGCCTTGAGTACTAACCAAGTCCAACTCTGCTTAGTTTTTCAATATTGCCCAGATTGGAACAATGACCCATTTCAGATTCACTTGTTTCTCTTCCAGAGCAATTTCAAAATTGACCTGTTACCCTTCCAAAGTTTTCTTCCAAAATTGGCAAAAAATATGTGTGTGTCTTTTAATATATTCCTTAACTTTTGGACCTGTTATATTTTCAGAATAGCACCCCAAGATTTGTAGAGATGAAAGACTGTGTTGCAACTTTTCTGTGGGAAACTGAAGCTGCCTGTCCAATCACCACTACGCAAGGCGAGTCTCAGGTAGGAGCAGAGCAGAACAGGCTTATATTTGCATGTTATATGTAAAGGTGGGTTATAAGGATCCATATATAATAAATAGGAATCCTCATATCCAACTTTTGCTTGTTGATCTGAAATTCAGTCTGAGAATGCTTGCATGCATGCTATAGGTGAAATCTTGTTTCATCTGCCTCTTCTTTCTTCGCCTCGGCAAAAACCAAATAATTCTAGTTTTACATTTTTACCTAGCAACTCATTATTAATTATCAGTATGTAGAAAGGCTTCTGGGAGATGACTAAGACAGTAGAGGCAAGCGCTTGAAGCAAGCAAATTTACAAAGAGCTTCAAATAGGATACTTTTTGATGTTAGAATTCACTTTTATTCAACTTCTTACAATATCTTTTTTTTTTAAATTAGATTTTCCTAGATCATTCCCTTAAAAATTTTATTGGGACAAACTTTAAAGTCTGTTTTTTTTAAAAAAATTCCAAGGAAGATTTGAGACACAAATGGCATAGCCCTTAAACCTTGTATGTGATTCACCAAACAAGGTTTGGTACTAACACTGCTGTAGATAGAGGGCAGTTTGTAAATATTTCTAACCTTACTTTACTTGATATCATTTGACTTTCAACAAGATAAATATTCTGAATATAAATAGTTTTGAACTTACTGTGTTTCCCTGAAAATAAGGCAGGGTCTTATTCCCATTCCCCCCCCTGAAATTAGCGCTTGGCTTTATTTTCGGAGAGGTCTTATTATTTTTGAGGTGTAGGAGGTGGTGAGCATGGTCACCTCATGGCTGCTGCTGCTGCTGTGTTGCAATATTTTCGTGGAGGGCTTATTTTAGTGCATGCGCTCAAAAGGCCGATTGGGTTTATTATCTGGGGAGGGCTTATTTTCAGGGAAACATGGTACCTCTACATAATCATAACCATATGGTAGATACTCCTTCCTTGACTTTTTATTTTTAAGGATGCAAATGTTTTGAATTTATGAATTATATCTTTTCTTCCAGAGCTGCTCTGTAAAAGACCCAAACACTGGATTTCTATATAACATGGAACCATTAGCTTTGGAAAAAGCATACGTTGTCGAAGGAATTAGAAAGAGCTTCATGGTAATAATTTCTAATTCTTATGATTTTTCTGAAGTGAGTTAATAAATTGGCATGCTTTCTTGAAGAAAGTATAGAAAACACTCAAAATCGTATCTTGTGCATTGTAAAACGAATTCCTTTTAATAGTAATGTTAATAAACAGCAAATTTTTAAATATACTGTGAGCTACACACTGGGAAAAGTTCTAGCCCAAGAACTGAACAAATGATTTATATGCAGGATTTAGTAGTTAAAGGTAAAAGACAGGTCATTTAAATCCTGCAGAGCTGCTATGAAACAGAACAGAAAATACTGAGTTATGAGTTAGATGAGTTATATGGGTTAGTTAGTTGGGTAAAAGGCAATTTGCAAAGTTGTTAATGTGGAATTAGAATTTTTCATGTGAAACTCAGAGCACACATTTATATTCTGTATCACTTTGGTTAAGCTAAAAACCTTGTAAACATAACATGAATAAAACGGGAGGCTGCAATTACTAAGTGTAGTCTTGATAATCATGTCCATCAAATAGTAGAAAATTAACATTGTTGTGTTCAATCTTTTAGATAAGTATCTGTAGACCAGCCAAGGAATGTGGGCCTATTCATGGTATCGAAGTTGATGATTCAATTGGTGGATGTGAAACAGAAGATCTGGAACACATTCGCTTGGTGAAATTGAACAAAACTCTTCAATTTTCTACAGAAGGATATCTGTCACTTACTTATACAGGTAAAGGGAGTGTGGCTTACTTTGTAAATGTTTGCTTTCAAATATAGTCATTACATGTTTTTGAAAGATAATATTTAGTCATTATACAGTGCTCATCCCCATAGACTTTATTCTGCAGTCTGTGGTTCCTAGAGCTCTTATCTAGAGAAACACCTATTATTGTTAATTCAAAGGAAAGTAAATAGTCAATGCTCAGTGTACAGCTTGTTGGCTATTGCCTTAGAAATTGTATATGCTTGCCCAGCTTCTGAATTCACAGACATAAAGATTTAATGCTTCTCCACATTCCTGTAAAAAAAAAAGAGTTTGAAGCTTGAAAATCTGGAGATGTGGAAGTCAAGATATATAAGAAAGCCCAGTAAGAGAGATTGTAGAAAATGTTCTTTGCTTACAGGGTATAATTTATCTCCAGCATACTTCAATATTTGCTCTTCCTTTAACCTATATTAATGAACGTATCCTGACTCAGTCATGGAAACTAGATTTTATTTTTTTAAAGTACATGCTGAACTTTGGGTGAAAGTCTTTCCCTTGCCATCCCTGAAAACCATCATATTTCTCCTTTCATTTAACTGTACTATTCTTGTGGGTTGTTTCCCCCCCACCCTTCTGTTACTGTCTGATGTTCCAATGTGTGCCGATTTAAAGGAACAAGATATACAGTAGTCCTTGCTCAGCAATCACTTGTTCAGCGTCTGAAGTTATGATGATGCTGAACAATGACACTTATGGCTAACCCTTGCTGTTGTGGCTATTGTAGTGTCCTCAAAGTCATGTGATAGCAAGGTGAATGTTTGGCAACTGGCTCACAACTACAACCTTGCAGTGTCCCTCACATTTATTGCTGCCTTTATTACTATTTTCTGAGAAGCAAAACTAATAGGAAAATCAGCAGGGGGTTGCAAATGACAATCATGTGATGTTATGCCTAAGTGGGATTTGCCTAACAATAGCACTTAGACTTATATACTGCTTCATAGTGTTTTTGCAGCCCTCTCTAAGCAGTTTACAGAGTCAGCATATGGCCCCTAACAATCTGGGTCCTCATTTTACCCACTTTGGAAGGATGGAAGGCTGAGTCAACCTTGAGCCGATGAGAATTGAATTGCTGAATTGCAGCCAGCAGTCAGCAGAAGTAGCTTGCAGTACTGTATTCTAACCACTGCGCCACCACAACAGCAACTCAGACTTGACAATGGAATTCCCAGCTCCAAGTACTGTAGTTTACCACTACCTGAAAAGAGTTGAATACTTTGTCTTGATATTTTATTTTCATTCTTCAGGACCCAATGACAGTTTCATCATCACTTTTACTTGCAATCGGTCCTATCCTGGAGAACTCAAATTTGTACATGAAGAAATGAATTCCGCACGAAATATTCATAATACTTATTTTAACTTCTACACTGCATTAGCCTGTCCACCTGTTCCAGTTGATTGCCAAGTCACTGGTAAGTAAACTAGAAAAGGTAGCTTTTCCATGTCAGGCACTACGTGCTTTTATATATGTTTTCCCTCCTACATTCAAATAGTAGATAATGGAATTTCAGAGTTATGGGGATCTGTGTTATTATTTTCTAGATTCCAAAGATCCTTAAAGTGGAACCTGGTCTTATAGATTAGAATTTAAGAAATTTTGAGCTCACATGTAGAGTAACTTCATCACCCATCCATAGAAGGCATGAATTGCTTTTAAACGTATTAGCAGTATAATCTTTGATTTTTTTTGAGCTGCTAGTCATTTTGTTCTTGTTCTGTTTAGTAATTATTTTTTATTATACTACAAATAGTCTCTCTTGCCTAAGGTACTTTAATGATTTTTCTTGTAAATTATGTTTAAAAAGAAAGAAGAAACATTTAAGAGGTTTTTGTTGACTTAATGCTGCAAAGGTATTTTTAGGTAAAAATTTCTTGAGATGTGTTTGAATATTTCATATAAAGATACTGGGAAGTTATGTATAGAGAAACACCCAACATTTATTTATAGACTCTTCTGATTTCATAATGCATATTATGAATAATATTTTATTACTTTGCTCTTCAAATGTCAGGCTTGGATGACTAACCTCTTGGAAATTGGGGTCTGACTTGGATAAGGAGGATTTGATTTAATCAAGCATTTCCAGTTCCTGCTTGTGTTTTCAGATTCTGATGGCAATGAATACGATCTGAGTGACTTGAGCAGAGATCATGAACCCTGGATTGCCCTGGATACGACAGCAGATGCCAAAAAAAGAACTTTCTTTCTCAATGTTTGCAGGCCACTTCCCTATATACCTGGATGTCCAGGTAAGTATTTTAGGTTAACTAATGATGTAGGTTTGAGCTCCCAGTGCTTAGAATCCAAATGAGCAGACATAGTTGAACAGACTACAGTGATAGGTTCAGGAAATAGATTAATCAGGAATCTGCATCCTGTTACTCATGAGCTGCAAGCTTCTCCCTAGTTGTAATTTTTGTTACTCTTTATTGATTTGAATTGAATTGATTGATTATGTACTATCAAGTCATGGCGATTCTTAAGTGACTGGAATGTCATCACTTTGCTTAATAACTAATTTCCACAACACTGTCAAATAATTTACTAAGACTGTATTATACTATTTTTCTCTTCCTTACTAGTATCTATCTCTTCCAACTTATTACTATAACCATGTTGCTTGTATCTTTCAATTTATATTGTTTTTATTTGCTTCCTAATACAATTTGATAGCTTATTAGTAACCTTGACTATCACTAAGTGTTGTATCTTTTTGTTCTTGATCAATGTTTTGTTTTGTTCTTATGTACACTGAGAGCATATACACCACAGACAAATTCCTTGTGTGTCCAATCACACTTGGCCAATAAAGAATTATATTCTATTCTATACTCTACCCTATTCTACATTGATAATTTTTCTCCATGATGATCTATCCCTAACCTGGTCTTTCATGTCATCATCACTTAAACTCAGGGCTGTCAAACTCTTGGCCCATGGGCCAGATGCATCATGCACTGGCCATATCCATGCCCGGTTTAGAGAAGGGAGAAAAAGTCCCAGTAGGTCATGTGTTGCTGCCATGACACAGTGAGTTTGACACCCCTGCTTTAACTGAATTCATTCACCGTGCTGCTGGTCGATCTGTTTCTCTCTTTTCTTTCACTTTTCCCAGCATTGTGGTGACTTCATTTGCTGATCATATAAATCAAAGCTAAGCAAACAGTTTTGCCACATCTCTTATGTAAACCTGTCAATAGTTTATTTGTTTAATGACATTTGAATGATTTAAAAAATTGACTGAATTGTAAAAGCCTTTTAAGCTGCCTTTTATTCTTCCATCTTTGTCAGATTAAATTGTAATGTTAGAATGTATATTATAGTAGGGGAGAATAGCAATTATCAGTTCGATGTTTGGGTAATTTAAAGATAGAAATAATAGTTTTAAAGCAGGTTTTTTATTATTTTACAGAAACACAAATGTAAAAATAAGGGATGTAAAGAAAAATCCTTGTATATCAGCAAAGTCATATTGAGTTTATATTTAACTAGCACATCATCAGTCCAGATATGATTACCTTAAGAAAAGGAGAAAATAATGTTAAATTACCTTTGAGCCCCTCTTAAAAAGAATGAATGCAACCCTTTTTGGAAAACATAAACATCTATTTTGAAATGTGTCTTTTTTTGGCTACAGCTGGCATACTAGGAGCTTGTGTGAAATATGCTGATAAAAGCCAGAATATTGGTGTCATTCAAATAAGTCCTCAGGCTGCCACCGATGGATCTCTTTCTATTTTGTATTTAAGTGGAGACATATGCAAAGATAAACAACAATACTCAACCCGGATAATTTTCCAGTGTGATCAAGCTATGGTAGGTTCATGTGTAGCAGTTTTTTTTTTTCAAACTTGGAGAGAGTTTTTACCCTCCCCAGGCTCCGGAGACTTTCCTGAAGCCAGGGGAGGGTGAAAAACGGACACAACAGGCCAACCGGAAGTTCGGGAATAAACTTCCGTTTGGCCTGTTGGACCTGTTTTTCGCCCTCCCCAGGCTCTGGAGGCTTTTCTGAAGCCTGGGGAGGGTGAAAATGGTCTCCCCTGGCACTCTGGAATGCCGAAAATCAGCTGGTGTGTCATAGGTTCGCTATCACGGGATTAGCAACTTGTAGGACTTCCCCCCTCCTTTTAACTTTTATTATTTTATTCCTGTTTTCACTGCCCCCCTATGGGACCAAAATATTTATATGGTTTTTATGTTTTAATTGTATATCACCCAGAATTACTGTGTGAGTGAGATGGGCAATCTTCAAATTTGATAACTAAATACACTCTATCACTTCTCTAAAGAAGCCAGTTTATTACGAGAACAAAGGCTGCTTCCATAGGTTACAAAAACAGCCAGTATGTGATGAAATGTCTGCAAATCGGGAATCACATTATCTCCCTCACAATCATTACTGTGATTCTGCTGCAAATATATTTAAAATGTGGGGATACAGCTAAACACATTGTCCCACAATATAGATTGTGTCTGTTGTGTAACAGTACTGATTAGTTCTCCTGTTGGGTTGTGAAATGATAGGTCAGAAATGAAATTCTCATGTTCCCAGGTTTTTTGGGTTTATTTGACAAGTGAAATTTGAATAGAATAATTGCCAATGAATCAGAAAATGTTATTTAGTAGCATATAGGAGAATCAGAAGTTCATTCATGAATGCATGAAACCTGTCAACCCATTCATCTTTATGTTTAGGGATCACCTGTGTTTCAATATGAAAAGGACTGTGAGTTTGTGTTTCTTTGGAGAACACTAGCTGCTTGCCCTGTGCACAGAGCAGTAGGTAAGTATGAACACTTAAAAGAGTTTTGTTCTTCAACCTGTATATCTAAAACTCATGAATAAGTTTGTATTTAATATGCCAGTTGAAAGGCAGGTATTATCTTGAACTTAAATGCCCCGTCAGTTCTTTTCTAATTCGTGTATATGGCAGAAGTCTTAACTTCCAAATATTTCATATAGGAGCAATATGATTATGCATATGCATCCCATCTCGAAAATTGTTATCAAGTTACAGCTGCTAATATTAACTATTTTTTAATTTAATGCAAATTAAATTAAAAAATGTTATTGACCTAATTCTACCTTTTACTTTTTGGAATTGGAGCCCTTCAGTATTTTTATAGGCCAGAGATGTGTTTTGAACCAGAAGAGATGGCCTCACTTTTTGTATGTGTGTGTGATGCATGTAATATATTCAGAAAACAAGTGATTCAGATGTTTTTGGAACAGAAGTATTGTGTAACTAAACAATTGTCTTTACTGTTAGAGATGTAACATTTTCATATTTTTTATTATATATTGTATAAATAATATACAATATATAATAATATATATATGCTATATTGCCAAAAGTATTTGCTCACCCATCCAAATAATCAGAACCAGGTGTTCCAATCACTTCCATGGCCACAGGTGTATAAAATCAAGTACCTAGGCATGCAGACTGTTTTTACAAACATTTGTGAAAGAATGGGTTGCTCTCAGGAGCTTAGTGAATTCCAATGTGGAACTGTGATAGGATGCCACCTGTGCAACAAACACAGTCAACTGTCAGCTGTATTATAAGAACGTGGAAGTGTTTGGGAACGACAGCAACTCAGCCACGAAGTGGTAGGCCCTGTAAACTGACGGACCAGGGTCAGAGGATGCTGAGGCGCATAGTGTGAAGAGGTCGCCAACTTTCTGCAGAGACAATCGCTACAGACCTCCAAAGGTCATGTGGCCTTCAGATTAGCTCAAGAACAGTGCACAGAGGGCTTCATGGAATGGGTTTCCATGGCCGAGCAGCTGCATCCAAGCCATACATCGCCAAGTATAATGCAAAGCATCGGGTGCAGTGGTATAAAGCACGCCGCCACTGGACTCTAGAGCAGTGGAGACGTGTTCTCTGGAGTGATAAATCGCGCTTCTCCATCTGGCAATCTGATGGACGAGTCTGAGTTTGGCGGGTGCCAGGAGAACGGTACTTGTCTGACTGCATTGTGCCAAGTGTAAAGTTTGTTGGAGGGGGGATTATGGTGTGGGGTTATTTTTCAGGAGCTGGGCTTGGCTCTTTAGTTCCAGTGAAAAAAACTCTGAATGCTTCAGCATACCAACACATTTTGGACAATTCCATGCTCCCAACTTTGTAGGAACAGTTTGTAGCTGGCCCCTTTCTCCTCCAACATGACTGTGCACCACTGCACAAAGCAAGGTCCATAAAGACATGGATGACAAGAGTCTGGTGTGGATGAGCTTGACTGGCCTGCACAGAGTCCTGACCTCAACCCGATAGAACACCTTTGGGATGAATTAGAGTGGAGACAGAGAGCCAGGCCTTCTCATCCAACATCAATGTGTGACCTCACAAATGCGCTTCTGGAAGAATGGTCAAAAATTCCCATAAACACACTCCTGAACCTTGTGGACAGCCTTCCCAGAAGAGTTGAAACTGTTATAGCTGCAAAGGGTGGACCAACGTCATATTGAACCCTATCGATTAGGAATGGGATGTCACTTAGAGTAAGTTCATATGCGAGTAAAGGCAGGTGAGTGAATGCTTTTGGCAATATAGTGCACATAGGAAAAAGGGAGGATTTATGAAGAAAAATGAAATATGTAAAATATTTAATTTTTAATTCTCTTTAGAAGTGGGGAGTCATTTGTTACATCTTATATATTATTTAGTTTGCTTTTTAGTGATATGCTTTGCCCATATAGTTTGAGAATGAGGAGATGAAGAAAAAAAACAAGAGTAGTCATTAAGGGAAAGTGATGGAAAGGAAGTTAATGGTGCATGCAAATGTGAAATGGAGAAAGTGAGCCTTGCACTACTTGCCCCATGAGACCTGGCTGTTTCAATTTTTTTGTAGTCAAAACCTGGAACAATCAAGCTGTTCCAACTTTAATTCAGACAACCTGCATCATATCTAGAATGGTTCAGCTATTTAGGAATAGCACTTAAATCTATATCTCTAAGTGGTTTGCAATAGTCACCATATTGCCCCCAACAATCTGTGTCCTCATTCTACTAATCTTGGAAGAATGGAGGGCTGAGTCAACCTTAAGCCCATCAGGATCGAACTCCAGGCTGTGGGCACAGACAGCCTGCAATATTGCATTCAAACCAGTGCGCCCTCAGGGCTACATATTTCTTTGTGGCTTGACACAGAACAGATTTTGCTTTTGATACTTGCATTGGATAATCTATTACTGTGAAAGTAGTTTTAATGATAGTCAATTTACTTTACAAAAAATTGTACATTGGAATTTCTATTTAAAGGAATAATTTGCTGAAAGACAGTTAAGTGATTGCCTTAAATAAATAACTGTATGTCATTCTACAGCATTAGATCATAATTTTTTCACTTGTGGCTTTGGTTTTTTTAAAGGTGAGAACTGTCAAGTGAAAGATCCAAGATATAGTTATGTATATAATTTGTCACCACTTCGTGGGAATGACATTAAAGTCAGCACCGACGAATATGACTACTACTTTAGAATTTGTGATGGATTAGCCACAGGCCTTTGCAAACAATCAAGCAACAGTGAACATATCGTGTCGTCATGTCAAATTAAAAAACAAGATCCACATGCTAAAAAAATAGCAGGTAAGGTCATTCTCATATTGTTGCCTAGACTTGTTATCCAAGCAAATGTCTTCATGGTACTTTTCTTGAATTCCCACATTTGACATTACTCTAGCTAATGTGAGATTTATTCATAGTGGCTGTTCAGTTCTGCTTCCACAGCCAGCAGTCCTCTGGGTATGCTAATGATTCCGTGTGATTACAATAGGCCAAATAAGATGAAATTCTTTGCTGTTGATTGTTAATGTCCTTTTCCCCTGTACCTTCACAGAATTTTAAATTCATCTGAAAGCACTGTGGAATTCTTAATTTCTGTACATTTTTATAAATGTGCAAAGACTGTGCCTCCAGGTTACAGAGTAGTGGGAAACTGGTAGAGGAAGCTTTGGAAAAGAGGAAAGATAAAGGTCTAGAGAACGCTTTATGTATATATATATGTTGTCTATGTCTATAATGGATATGTTTTTGGCTTATCTTGAACAAATAATATGCAGGAATTAGTTTGTGTGATTGCTCAACTTAATGTAAAGATTAGCATTGGAAGTTTTGGTAGGGTAATGTATGATAGTGATTAAAACTGGATTGTTGAACTTCCATTCTCTTCTCCCAGAAACATAACTATGTTAGTTTGTTTGATACAACTCTAAGAATCTCCTTCCAGCTAAGGATAGCTCATTCTCTCTCCATGCACATATGCTTAGAAACTTTAAATTTTCAATAGGTTTCTCTTAATATTTTGTCATATACATTTCTGTAACTAGGTTTGCAGACTGAAAAACTGACATATGAAAATGGATTACTTAAGATAAACTACACTGGTGGGGACATATGTCACAAGGTGTATAACAGATCAACAGCAATATTTTTCTACTGTGATCCGAATCCTAATTTGCAGGTAAGGAGACTTGGGGATTTTAGTCTGTTCCAGAGTAATTAAATGTGCCTTGGCAGCAGCATTCCCTCTAAGCTGCGCACATGAGCAGCCGCACAGGTAACAAAGAAACACCGCGCACAAGTTTCAAACTGCAGCGCAGTGTTTTTTAATGTCTTTAAATGTGACTGAAAATATTCCCCTTCCCTCCCTTCTGAACTCTGATTTCTGATTGGTGAAATCAAGGAAGACTCTGCCCGGAGACCGATGACGCTGCAGAAGGGAGAATTCCCATTGGTCCTCTGAGGCTTCATCAGTTCCTGGGAAAATGGGATTTTCTGGTTGTAGCCTGCGTTCCCCTGCACATCCGGGGTTTCTCAGGCTTTGCCCCTTCTGAAGCCCCATTCTGGGCTCAGCATTTTTCTGTGATCCCTTCGCTTTGGGGAGAGA